CGCGAGCGATATTGCGAATGGACGCGCGCGTTCCCTTGATTCATGGAGTTGTAGGAGCACGCAACGGCAGAAATCGCGGTGCTACTGCATCATTCGTGGTGAATATAAACTCTTTAGAGGCCATGAAGTTTGAGTTTTACTTGATGTGGGTAGTACGTTGCTCGTTCCCATGCTCCATTTTCTTGCTGAATGAATTATGTACAAAAAATGTTGCCCGGACCTATATAACGTATGAACGATGATCGTTTAACGAGTCTATATGGGATAGCACAATAGATTTTTTTTAATTTCACGTGGCAGTGAAATTGCTATTTGAAAACAGTTATCTTCACAATACTTGAGAAATTAAATGACGGGTCATTCTAGTTTCGTCTACTCATACAGCATATGAAAAACTGTAATTATGACTTACAAATTCGTTGCAGTTAACAAATATAGCGGAATGTTAAATTTTCTGGGTATTGATATATTAATCGGAAATAATCCGGGATTTGTGAATTCTCTAAAACTATCTTTCGATTCTGTGTTGTGTACAATTTTGAAATTATCAACAAAAATATACTGTCTTAGATAATTTCGTAGGCTTGTAGTCAGTGTACTATCTTGCAACATAACGCAGATATTAAAAATATTGAAATCTAATTTATAAACCATATACTTTACTGATGCTGCTTCAAAGGGCGGTGATGGTGTTCAGAGCGTAAATTGACGCAGGGGTCTGCTATAAAAGAATCTCAAACGTTCCGAAGCCGAACGTTTTAAGAGTGCGCCCGTGGCCGCCGGAGGTGCCGGGCGCTCCCGGGAGAGGGCGGCTGCGAGGGCGTCGTGCTCTATCGGCATCGGCGGCGCTCCTTGGGAGTCGACGCCCCGCCGCTGTCGAAATGGCTGCTCGGCAGCCCCGCACGCCAGTACGGTTGAAGCTATCAATTCGAAATAAATTATTGATGAATGTATTCTTATTTTGCTTACCTAGAGCTTGGATTTACAGATACCTCGCGCGAGCAAATACGACCCTGTTGATTCCATGAGTATCGGAGTGTTAATAATTTAACGATGCCTATTTGTCCTCTATAGCTGCTTTCAAGCATGATAAAGTGAAACTAGAGCGTCGCCGCCGCGATTGCTGGAAAGAGCTCTTCTTCTGTTTTCATCTGAGACCCAAAACGTACCCTGTTTTCAAGTGCTTTCCGACGCCTATACCGTTTCTTAGAAATTTAAAGTTTATGTACGCATTTTGTTGAACATTTTGTATATTTTAATTGTTTAAACAACAATTGTTTAAGGCAAAAGTATTAGTTTTGTTTTTCTTCGGTTTTCTCGCCGACCTTTTTGAGGTAGCAAACATCAAATTCGAATTCAGAATCCTTAGAAACATACAGAATTGTTGAAAAAAAAGTTCGGGAATTTTTTCCCCGGACTGACCCTTTGACTGAACTCTTTAAATCAGTTCTTTCCGGAACTGTTGCATGTTTTGATTTAAATTCATCTAGCTCCTTTCTGTTTGTAAAATCTAGTGAATATTTCATTTATATTATTTTTAGGGATATTCTATGCGCCAACTAGACCATTATTTAAAAGCAATGAACTTGAAGTGACTTCCTATGTTCAGTCCAAAGTCTCGTTAAATTTCTTCGGATTAAAAAAATTAAACAATTCTAATTTGCGTATTTCGTTGTTCGAACGTAACAATTTTAGTCAACTAATTCTTTTTGTTTGAAGTCAAGCACGTAAAGCTATGAGGTAGACGTTATTATGAACACAGTCAAAATGTGTACAAGTCAAAACAGATGAAGATAAAAACAACTACACATAATCGTCAAATAAGAATGACTTATGATGCCAGATTTCTGTGTATTACATTTTTGCTTCTTGAATTAAAAACAGAGCGATACTAACTTTCCATTCAGTGCATATCACTATAGTTTTGTAGAACAACACAGTTTCCACAAAACGAAACTCCGATTAAAAGCTTAGTTTATGAACGTTATTATTTAAGTTAATGTACTTTTAATTGCTCCGAATGGTAGAACGTATGTAATACGTGTCTAAAACTGAGATTCACAGTACTATTGTCATTGAAAATCAATTCTTCATCTGTGTACTGTCTTAATAGCCAGAAACTTATTTTTAACTTGATTGTTTGGTTTTCAATTGTCGTTTGAATTTTGTTTTGAATGCTGAAGTGTTGTACCAAAAAGTTGGAAAGTTACATAGAATTATTTAAAATTAGAATAGAGGAATGGGGGTATCTTTGATAGACAGGATTTTTGGATTAGAAGGAACGAAGAACACAAGGAAAATTTGTATTGGATCTTTTCAGAATTAGAAACATGTCTGGGGTACGTAATGGTACTGTTGGTTGAAAAATAGAAACTGTAAACGCATTTAAAAATAAAAACAATATTTTTATTAAAGATATCACAATGTATGAACAGTCTTTTTCTTCGATATGAACTATATACAGGAGCTAAACAAAACAGTAATGTCTTCCTCGTCGTCGTACCTCTTCTCGTGCATTTACTACGCAGGAAGAGCCCGTGTACTATTTAGGAGGCCAGCTCCGTGGGCCGGGCGGGCCTCGGTGATCCGCGACCCCACCGGGCGCGGTGCGGTGCGGTGGGCGCTACCGCCTGAGAAGGAAGCCGATGTCCGGGTTGACGTCGAGGCAGACGCGGCGGCTGCACACGAAGTCGAAGCGCTCGGGGTTCCTCTCATTGCGGCACTCGCACTCGTTGCAGGCATCGGGCGCGTACCGCTCCCCCGGCTTGCACGACGCCACTGCAACACACACACGGTTAACGCAAGGGTCTTGGCTGGGCAACGGGTGGAAGCGGTGGGAATAGGACAGTGTTTTACAGGGGGACTGTGAGTAACACAGTTGTAGTGGACGAGTGTGTAATTTAAAACAAGAGGCTTCAAACGTCTCTTTTAACTTTGTATGTACATTGTAATTTGAGTGGAAGTTGGGGATGGAAACATGAGGCTTAGTGAAAAAATATTATATTATTTTTTTTAAATACAATATTAATAAGAATTATAATTATTATTGCCAGTGTTGGTATAGGACGACAAATTAATTTAAATTTGGCGCCACACTTCTGACATCTCAGTTTCGCTGCTCTTTGAAGGCATTTTTTAAGAAAAGATCATACATTTCAACCTTTCCTCCTCGGAAATTGTCTAATCCTGCTTAAAGAAACCCGAGAATAACCTTCCAATTGACCAAATACTCATTTTTGTACAAAGCTCTTTGAAATCGATTTTCAACTGCTTCGAAGAATCATTAATAGGTTGCACCACCTCTTGGGCGGTCGCGACGAAAGAGTTGCTCATTGTCAGATTTCCTGGAATTCAGACAAGACGAGCTCACATTGTTTGAAATTCAGAGGAACCGCGACCTTTTTTTGTAACGATCGTAGCGAGGAGCTAAGCAATACGCAAACAGAGCGCATTGAAAGTTTGTGGTATGTTGGTAGCAAGCAATAATCGTGGTTTCTTTGAACCAGCGCTCTGGGACGCGGAGCGAAAAAGCAGAAAGCATTAATAACGTGAAATTCGTAAGGAGAACGTTTATTATCGTTCAGTCTGAGGTAACCATGACAATCTCTTCAATACTCATTGATTCTTTCGCCAAAGTAATAATCTTTGTCAATGATGGGTCGCTTTTTTCCTCAACTCTCGACTGATGAAAACACAGAAGGCGATGCACAAAACTTCTCGTTGCAGTTTTTGCTAATGCTCTTTCAATTCATGTAAGCAATATTTCGCAGCCTCAACAGTCAGCATTAATAATCGTGCGTCTACACGTGGTTTGGTATATACACAGATCTAAAAATCAAATTATCTACTTGGCATTACTAACTCATAAGCCAAAGATTAAATATGTATCTGTTACATTTTGACATGTGACATCCTTAAGTTAGTTCTCTTGATTAAAATTATATACTACCTACACGTTATGCTCTGTACTTCACACATCACTACGCAAGTTCAAATGGTTTGGTTTTCTTCAGTCTTTGATGTTGTTTTTGCTCAGTTGAAATTCTGCATTTACATGAAACCTATCTTCATGCTTCTTCGCTAACCTTTTATTTTCTCCTTTCATTGTTGGAATTTCAAGATCTCAATGGATGTAAACGTTTCTGACATACCATGGGGCACTGACCATTTTACGCAAAACATTGTTTTGAAAGGTTTGTGTAATCATGATATTGCAATTTTGCTCGCATCCTCAGAGTTGTATTCCGTACATGCAGGTGAGTTAAAGCATCTGATTATAGATTGTTTTGTTGCGTGAAGATAGGCTGTAATGTCCTCCAATAATTTTTGTAAACTGTTGGAATTTGATGTTGAGTTCTTTCTTTCTTTCTTTACGTGTTCCTTCCATTTCAGCTTGGTATCCAGTGTCATGCCTATATATGTAGCTTTGTTTTCATAACGAACTATTTCTCCATTTATGCCCTATGATGTTATAGTATTCCATATTTTTGAGTGTACTTTATATGTACTGTTTATTCTTCGTTTATCGTAATATTCCATTTTTTGGTCCAATTGTAAATTGTTTTTTGTAGTCGAGTAGAGATCATTTCGACCCTTCCTGTAATAAAGGCTGTATCGTCAGCCAAAATAGCTAATTCCCCTTGTTCTCGGTTTGAAATGTCACTGATAAACAATACATACAATACGCGCTCAGGTGCACTACACTATGTAACTTCCACGTGAATGTCTTTCAAGTCTGAATAGTTTCTTCTTGCTTTAGAATAAACATTCTTTGAGATATGTAAGACAACAGGGTTTCTACGAAATTTTTGGGCAGCACTTTATTTCATTTGTGTAGCAATCCTTCAAGCCATACTCTGTCAAAACCTAATGACGCATTTAAGTACTCTACAAATTACACATTCCTCTTCTGTTATTATTTTGTGATATCTGTGATTCTGTTGACACCTGTGATTCTTACTTGGTACTTGGTGTAGTGCCGAATGCTTCAACCTAAACCAAAGTGGTGGTCAGACTTTGTTTAATTAGCTTTAACCCATTAAGTAGATTTTTCAAATACTTCTGAAATTACTGGCAATAGAGTCGGCCTATTTCGTGAGGTGATTTGTCTTTCTTGTGGATCATAACAATTTCTGCCATTTTCCATATAGCCATAATATTTCAAACTAATAGCAAGTTGAAAAATATAATCTAACGCTTTGTTTTACAACGAGATTATGGGTAACAGAGTTGTAGTGGGTGGCGTGAAATTTCAAACAAGGACACTTGAAGTGTCTCTTTTAACCTTTTATGTAAAATGTAATTAGAGAGGAACTGAGGAATGGAATCATGAGGCTGAGTGAGAAAGGTAAAGAGCTAATTTGAAACAAAAGGCTAAATGAGTTTTCAAAAATTTTTACAAATGTGAAAAGCGAATGGAATGATAGCCTACTTTAATTTTACAGAAATTACAATTAACATTGTGATGCCTCTTTGTCAAAATGTAGATCCCGTTGTAAACATTGGCAATCTAAAGGAAGTTTTAATTGACAAATTTCTCGTCAAGTAATTAGATGCGGATACACGAAGCCGTAACTTGATAATAAGACAAATATTTAAATCTACTCTTTTTACATGGGGCTCAGAGATATGTGAGCCCTTAGAAATGTACATCTATGACACATATGACAATACACCAAATTACTGTACATTTATTGAAATATATATTGTTTCGAACAACTTCATGATTCACTGATTCTTTATTTGATCTCTCGTTAGCGATGCAAGAAGTTTTCCGTGAACATTCTCCTACACAACAGTTAACGTCGAACGACGTGTACGTGACATAGTGCGCAGTATGACTGTAATGAGCCACGCAAGGTCAGTTGACGGACAGCCATGCACTTCAGCGTCTTATCCTTATGGCATTAAGATTCGCATTTCAGTTAGTGAATTTTCTCCAAGAGGCTGTATATCCCTTAACATTAAATTATTATTACAGTTAACGGTGTTGAGTTCTGTGCTCATAAACCCCTTAGAAATTCTCTCAGACAATTACATCATTCCCTCGTCGAGAAGTGAAGAGCGTACAAATAAGTGTCATCCTTTTCAAAGGCATTGAAATCGAAAATAAATTAATATTCCGGACGAATGTTCTTCAGAAATATGGGAGGTGAGACAAGGAGATGGGTGTGGTATGTCGGATCCAGTTGTGAATTTCTGACCACCTCTATTATTTATGTGGTTAAAATTTCTTACTTGAGGAAATCCTGGAAGTGTTAAGCAACTTGTGAAAGCCTGCATTTCGATATCTCAGAAACTCCCCCCTCCCGGGCCAGGGTTTCCTTTCAAACATATTTCTCCTTCATAATTTATACTTTATATTGGCTGCATACTTCTTTTTACCTCCCAACGAAAGTTACGTAATTAATGTTTAATATTTTTTTATTTATAGAGTAAATTTAACTTTGCAGTTAATTCCACATGTACTACTCTTTCCTAAATCTAATATTTGAAACAAGAAGAATACAGCAGGTCATATTATTGTGTATTTTGACCGCTTCCCAATCCAACTGCGAAGCATTGCAAGACAATGTTGTCCGAGGCCAGGGAACAAATATTCAGCGAAGCGAGTCCGGCTGAAAGAGAAAAGCCTTGACCGAGAGCTCCGCGCATCCTGTACTGCCGTTGACAGCCCGCTCGACCTACTATCCCCCCTGTGTGAATTGGAGTGAAAGTGCGCTAAACTCCCCACTAGCGATGCTGTCTTCTTTGAAAGCTCTCGAAATATTTCATTTGCTTCGAATTCAAATATAATCTTAATTGTGCTGCGTTTTTATTAAATTATTGAAATATTCATTGTGATTCTGATCTCTCTCTCCCTTCTGTTTTAATGACTCTTCTGCTAAGTAGGTGAGTCGTTGCCAAAATTTACTTGTAATGGATCCTTCTACAAAGGTATTGTTTCAGCTTCATTAAACGGAAGGTGATCTACAATATATCGAGACCTTGGATTATATCTCCTTCTGACACACTTTCACTTGCGCAATGAAGCGTGTACAAAAAGCACGATAGAGCTTATGAAAACGACCAGTCGGCTGGATATGTCTCCTTTGGTTTAGACACACATGTCTTCTGTGGTACATCATATAGTTAGAAAGTATTTCCGTGTTCTTAAAGTGTTATAAAGACTATATTTATTGTAAATCATGTTTCAAATTAATTTATTTATTCCTTGAATGGTCATAATTTTCTCAGTTTAGTGTCTTTATAAAATACAGGTCACACAATTGAGACAAACAGGATACTTCAGTAAAATAACGTTGAGGCTTCCTGTTGTCTGTAGCACCCCTGTAGAATATCCAGGATTATTATTTCTTTTTCTCTAATTTTAATATATTAACGAAGAATGTACTTGCTCCTTTTAGACATATTAAGACCAGGGCGTAATACAAGCCCATCTACAAAAACTTTCTAGGTATCTCTAAATCGTACCGCAATAACTTCATCAAATGATTTTCGTAACAAATTTACTATTAACTTCCTGTACTTAAAATCTGTATGAAACTATTGATACTTACTCAAATGTTTTCACTTGCATTGATATTTCTATTGATCGGACTCTTTTGAGCGGTCAAACGATCCATCTGCATTTACTTGCATGACCAATTATAAAGAAAACCAAAGGAATCAACATGTAATTCTTCCAATAAAAATACTTCTTCTTAAACTTATCATTTACGTGGTCTGCAATGAATTAAATGAAGCTTGTTAACGTCTTTGTTTTTCGACTTCATTTCTTCATATATGTCGTACAGAATCACAAACTCAGTCGCATCTCATAAAAACATTACATAGTCCTCCAATACAGCCAAAGACAACGTGTTCCAAAAGCGCATATAGCCTATATTCCCACAATGTTTTAAATTCAGTAGGGAATAAAGTTATTGAAATTATTGTTCGTCATGTTCTTGTGGCAGAAATTCAATTTCTTCACGAATGACACGATGGGTAACAGCCCTAATCTACAGCTGATTTACCTTTTCAAATAGTTATTACATCGAAGAGAACATTTTCGTATCAATTCTTGCCAAAAACGCTCATTTCCATCTGTATTCAGAATTCAACTTGTATATGGTAAAGGTAGCAATTCTTGTACGTGATAAAATGTGGACAAAATACATCCTTCATAGTTATTACTCATAGATTTTAACTGCTTTTGACATTAAATTCCTCACGGGCTGCAATGGTGCCACAACCACAAAAATACATAGTTTGAGTTAATGCATATTCCAGAAATGCAGATTGGTATTCCTTCCAACAGCATATCTCACAGTACAGTCTCCAAGAAACGGTAGAAGTTGGAATGCAATAATGATGCATTTCAATACAAAGTGAAAACTTTCAATTGAACACCTGATTTCATGAGTTGTGCCACCATTGCAGTGCACGAAATAAATATACAAAAACGTGGTCGTCCGTCGCAAGGAGCACTTACCGGCTACGCCATTGCTGGGGCGTGCGTGGGCGGGGCCGGCCTGCAGGAGCAGCAGCAGGAGGAGCCCCAGCGCGAGCAGCAGCGTGGGCGGCGCCGGGAGGAGCAGGCGGCCGCGGCGCATGGCGACGCAGCAAGCGCGGCGCGGCGCACGCCGGGGCCTTTATAGCACGGGCCGGCCGGCCGACCTTGCGGCGCCTAGCGGTGTCGCCCCCTCCCCACCCGCCGACGCCGCGCTCGCCGCAGGAGGTCGTCGCGCCGCCGATGGCCAACCGCACCTGCCCTGGCGCGTTTCCGGTCGCGGAAAACGTCTTGCGCGCGCCTTGCGCGATGTTGCCCGCCGACGGAGCCACGTGATGCAAGAGGCCCGAGTCGCCTCTGAGCGGTGCGGTTTGCACTGGCTCACGTCAGCGCCTTCGTTAAGGAGTTACTGCGCGTCGGAACGTGGTGAGGCACGCAGAATCATACCTCCAGTTTCCTCCTCCTTTTCTTCTCACTTATTCTCGGTCTTTTTCTTCGTTTGTTGATTTTTGAAGTTTTTTGGGTGCAAATTCTTTGACGAGCGACCAAAGAGATGAAAATACCTTAAATGGGCAAGAAATAAAATGGGAGCCGACTTGGTAATTCAATCTCAATTTTTTTTCGGCAAATGAATAAGATATTAAGTAGTAATAATGATTAAATAAAAGCCAACAGCGGTGGAATAAATGCTGGAGAAATTGGAGAAGCCTCCTGTAAACCTGTCGCCCACTCTCTTTGTTCAACATGAATTCCATATGACGTGACTGCAGTTCATGGAATTGGGTTGACTTGAAACGTAGTAGATGCCAGAGTTCGAAGGATATCGCTCACTCGCTCTCGTACAAGGAGTTATTTAAAGCGATTAGTAGTTTCAATTTTTGTTTAAAGTAAAATAAAATTTGGCGTTTTTTCAAAATCACGAAAAATGTAAAACAAAAAGAAAACTTTAGAAGAGTGCATGGCTAATCTTTGTAGGTAGGTTACCTCTTCAAATATGAGTAAAACATCTGTGAAAATATTTTGAATTGTACAATCTCTAATTGTGAAATTTGTGTAGTTAATTTTAAATGTCGTCACGGTTGGGATGATTGTGATTATTGTCCTAGATGTAATTTTGTATATTTAGTGATTATGATAAAGCTGGCTGTTATAGTGATGATGGCCATTATGGCGACACTTTATGGTTAAAGAAGTATAATTCTATTATTGTTATTTAGAACCTACATAAATGTGTTGTTAGTGACTGTAGGCCATAACAATGGGCAAGTACAGTTAATGATGTAGTTTCCGTCACAACATTTCATAACGTATAGTGTACTCGTATTGTATTTAGCAGAAATTCGATACAGTTGTCACACATTTGTCTACTTGTTCATGTAAATTTACATATTGATATGCCCCGATCGATCTGAACAAACGCAAGAGCCTGCGAGTTTGAAAGATAAATTTTGAGTTTTTGGTGGTACATTACACAGAGGCTAAGTCAGATTTTCAAAATTGTCTCTCAAATGGATTCAAATTGTTTGATTAGTTTTTGTCATAGTGTAGCATAGAAAACCTTTAAATGCCGCAGGTCTAATTTTCATTAAATTCTTCATTTCGGTTTCCGATGTCTTCTCACAACTACAATAGATGGGATTAGTTTTTTCCCTTCATGAAATCTGTTGTTGGAATACAGATATTAAAATAAGTTTGTGTAAAATATAGACAATTTTTAAATTCCTAAAAATGAGTTACAATGAGTTGTATTATCTCAAGAACTGCTCAATTTTGTCTTTAACTATTCTCCTCGTACGTATCAACGAAATAAAACATGTGATGAAAGTCACATTTCTTGCAAATTGTCTGTAATTTTTGAAAATCGCAAAAAGTTAACGTTATCAAAGTGTAATATTGATAGACTTTGCCGAATATAAAATCTGTCCCGACTAATCAGATTCTTAAAAAGGGTCATGTACAGATTTGCAAAAAATGAGAAATTTCCACGTAAGTTCTGCTCAAAATTAATACAAATTATTAAAAAATGTTTTGTGAAAAACCTCCCCGATATTTTCTTTAATTATAATTTTCTTCTTCTATTGGAAAAAGAGACGCTTAAAAGATGCGTAGGTTCATTTTCGTTAAACACTCTGAATTTTCAAAATTAACGCGAGAAAGTGTGTTCTGTTGTGGCTCCATTAGTTATTATTATTATTATTATTACTATTATTATTATTAATTTTATTATTATTATTACTATTATTATTATTAATTTTATTATTATTATTACTATTATTATTATTATTAATTTTATTATTATTATTATTATTATTATTATTATTATTATTATTATTAAGAGGCAGCGATGGTATTATTTAATTGCATCATTCCGACTCTCGAGCATGCAACTGGATTCCATTTCGGCCGCGGAAGCCTACGCAATCATGCAACAGGAAACTTCTCATTCCCGGTATATGTAGAGAGCACCGAGAATCCACTTTCCTCTGCTGCTAACTGATTGCTCATCCTCATCACGTTGTATTTAAGTTGTACAGTGCTGCGCGTGAACCTTCCCGATCTACAGTTAAATGTTCTGCGCTTTGACGCAATGTGAAGTAGTAAGAAAAATATTCTTTGCAAAATTCTATTGAATATTCATCGAATGGTATTATAAATAGTTGTGTTATAGCATTGTTCATGTGAATATAAATAACCATGTGATCTTATTTTTGCGGGTTGTGGTAGTAGAATAATTCATTAAAAAAATTTTACTTTTCAATCAGTGAGCTCATTCTGATTTTTCACTTCC